GCAAACTAATTTATGCAGTAGCCAGATTACCTGCTCACAACTTTAATGCCAGTAGCTCAAAAAGTAGAATTTTTGCTCACAGGACTCCACAGCTAGAGGGAACATTGGTGGGGCCATTGGTGGTGGTGGTGATTTCAGGAGTGGGCAGGGACATCACACACCGTGCATACATCACTCAAAAGTGAAGTAGGCAAGCCAGTGATGTCAGGGGTGGCACTCTGGATTTTAGGCAAAACTCTACGGTAAAATTGCCTTCAAACCATAGAGTTTTGCCTAAAAACCAGAGCATCACCTATCAATGTCACTGATACGCCCATGCCACTTCTGGGTGACATTAATGCGTAGCACACAATGTTGCTGTTTGGGGGCGGTGGGGGATTTCCTGCCCGCCAGCTTGCCACCAGCTGACAGGAGCCTGTGAAAGTGGGGGATCTTTCACCCCCACTTGGGGAATGGTAACCCTATGACCCACTGAAATAGTTCTGGGTCCACTCCCTGCATCCACTGTATTATTAAAATTGCAGTTTGGTAATCCTAGAAAGCAGAAACTTGGTTCACTTGTAGTCCATCATAATCTTACTAAGAAAAAAAATAAGACATTTTAAAAGACTTTCCAAATTCATTACTACAGCCAGTACGCACACTGTTGAAGCTTCATGAAGCCACAGATTGCTGGATGGGGAAGAAACAGCAGAAAATACCTATTTTTCCAGAATGCAAGCTGTATTTGCAAGTGATGTTTTGTGTGTGAAAGGGGGGTGGGGGGCTTGAGAAAAGATGTATCAACTTTGTTTTATCATACAAGAGATTGGAGAGGATTGCTCATTCTGGAGGAAGATGCTAACTGTGAATTACAAGTTCTGCTGTCCACAATAATTTGTTGTCTGCAGTTGGTAAGGTATTTTAGTGAATTTCCTGATTTTATGACTGGGATGTTTCAAGAAAGAGATGGAGGATGGTGCAGTACTAGAGACAGGTTTGTCCCCCAAAGTACACAGCCACCAAGTCCTGGTGGCACAGCTAGCACTCCCTCTATGCATTTCAGAGAAATCAGATTTGGCCCTGTGGCACAGCCACTATTCCCCACTTGCCTAATTACTGTTTGTAGGTTTGTTCCCAGAGCTTGTATGGTGGTCTTTTTTACAACAGAGAGAATGCAGTGCATACTGTCACACACACCCCAGAGCACAGGTAGAAACAAACAGGAGGGCTGTTTCATCTACAGGGCTGCAGATCTGCTATCTTGCATCAGAATCTGCATATCTATGTTGCTCCAGCCAACTCTCAACAGTATTTCTCTCTGCCTCTTTCTTTGTCCCTTCTACCATCTGAAACTGTACTTTCTTTTAAATTATAGCTGGCTGCTTCCTCCATTCAGCTGGGGAGGGGCTGTGTTTTTTACCCCCTGATGGGCACTAGACCCAGAGCCATCATTTTCACTTGAAGTTCATTGAGGAAATATCTACAGTCATTAAGGAACATGACTATTCATTTATTATGCGGGACAATCCACATTAATCAACACATACGTTTACAGTTTGCTTTGCTCATTCACAGTTTGGCAGTCCATCTTTTCCTGAAGCAATGGCGGCAGTGATCTTGCATTCCACGGTACACAGGAAAAAATGCCTAATAAAGAGATGTGCCACTTTTCTAATCCTTTAGAAAAAGTGCAAAAGCAGGAGAAACATCACAGTCCTGCTTTTTGCATCAGAGATTTATAGAAGAAGATCCAGCACTACTCCCTTGTGCTTAAATAACTTGCCCGTAGTGAGGATCTCATAAGAAATTAGGGCTCCCCATTAATTCTTTCAAACGGTTTCTTTTAAGTGTTGAAAGGTGGAAGACGGTTATCAACACAAGGTTTTTATTCAGAACATTACTCAGCTCTAATCTGACTCTGCAAAGAGTGGCATCCAAATTTATACTGTTCCAAACTGAACTATATACAATGTAACTACTTTCATGAAGTCTGATTGGACCTAAGCGGAGCTTTCTGATAGGATACTCTGTATGGCTGGACTCGAAGTATTGAAAGGCGGGAGACGATTATCAATTCAAGGCTTTTATTCAGAATATTACTCAGCTCTAATCTG